CTGCAGAACTGACATAGCCAAGATAATCCTGGATGCTGATCAGAATATTACCTCATACAACATCAGAATAGTGATACAGTGGATTCCAGGTCACTCCGGCACACCAGGTAATGACAGAGCTGACAAAGAAAGGAGCAAAACAAGAACAACCACCTACAGCGACAACCCTCCAGACAGCACAAACACTTATAAGAGCTATAAACAAAGAGACTTGGTTGAACAGATGAGCCATGGGAGACACTGGAAGAGAGGTTTATAGACATATGGCTGGCCCTGATCCTAATGACAGCATTAACCATCTAACAAGAAGGGACCAGGCCACCATCTTCAGACTTAAAACGCAACATACTCCACTCAATGGACATCTAACAGAATACAGCCACTAAACTCCCCAGAGTGCCAGCTATGTAACTACCCCTACGAAACTGTTGAACACCATCTCTTTGAGTGCCCAAAACTCAGCGAGACAAGAAGAACGCTACTCCCTCCGAGACCAGACAAGTGAAACACTTTGTACGGAGGAAAAGAACAGCTTGTGAAAACATGCAAATTCCACTACATGGCATTGGGCCAAAGGGCGAAAGCTCATGCGCCGCTGGATCGATAACAACAAAAACAACATAACAGAATTTCACAACCTAAAGGCTTAGGCATCATCATCATCATCAGGTGCCTTGCCGACTGACGTGGGCGATCATGCCTCTCCATAATCTGCGATCTCCTGCAGCATGCATCAGTTCGTGTGCCGACACACCTCCATGCCATGCAACAAGACTGTCAAGCATCTTCTCTCGTTGTATTCCTTTATCTCTCCTTCCACATATCTTTCCAGTGGTCACAACATGTTATATTTTTCCTCTTCTCATAACATGGCCGAAAAACGATGACTGTCTCCTTCTGATGTCTGTGATAAGTTGTCTTCGGGCTCCCGCCTCTTTCAAAACCTCTTGGTTGCTCTTTTTGGCTGTCCAAGGTATTCTAAGCATTCTTCTGTAAAACCACATCTCCGAGGCCTCCAGAAATTGTTTGGCCTGCCTACCGATTGTCCAGGATTCACAGCCATATGTTAAAACTGGATGTATGTAGCAAGCAAAAATTCTTTTTCTAACTCTCAATGACAAGGATGTATTGCACAAGATGTTTTTCATTTTATAAAATGCAGTTTTTGCCTGTCCTATTCTATTTCTTATCTCAGTTATGCATCTTCCATCTGATGTTATCCATGTGCCCAGATACTTAAATTTCTGTACTTGTCCTAAAATAACACCGTCAACTTTTATTACACTTAGGAATAATTCGTTTCTTTGATACCACCATTACTTCTGTCTTCCCATTATTCAAACTGAGGCCCATTCTTCCACTTTCTAACACCACAATGTCTATCATTTCCTGTAGTTCCTTCTGACTTGTTGCTATCAAGACTGTGTCATCAGCATAACGTAAATTGTTTATATTGTGCCCATCAACCACAATTCCGGGCATACCAATTAAAGCCTCATTATATATTCACTGTATATTGAAAACAAATCAGGTGACAGTACACATCCTTGTCGTACGCTCTTCTTTATGCTTTGAAATGTACCTAAACAGTTGTTAATTCTTATAGCTGCTGTTTGCTGCCAATACATATTCTTTATTATTCGTAGATCTTTCCCATCAATGTTTAATTTTTCTAACAGTCTGATTACTTCTTCATGCTTCACACAGTCAAATGCTTTTGTATAGTCTATGAAGCATATGTACAAATCAATCTTTACTTCTATAGCTCTTTCTGACAATGTCCTTAGGATGTATATGGCATTGTTTGTACCTTTTCCTTCTACAAATCCACATTGTTCATCGCTGATTTCTGGTTTAATTTTGTTTCTTATTCTTTTCATAATTATTCTCAGTAAAATCTTAGTCATGTGACTCATAAGACTTATTGTGCGATGGTCTTCACATTTTATAGTGCCTGGTTTCTTTGGCAGAGCTATAAATATGGATTTTAAAAGATCATTTGGAATATACCCACTATTATAAATATCATTTAAAAGTTTAGTGATTATTTCAATTCCAAAATCTCCCAGTGCTTCGATTTCTTCCAGTGAGATGTTGTCTGGCCCGGGTGCTTTACCTTTCTTCATGTGATGTATTGCATCCTCAACTTCTGCAGTCATTATTGGTGGACCATCATTGTTGGTCTGCAGTTCTACATCTGGTCTATTATCATCATACAATTCCCCTATATACTCTGTCCATCTGTTAATTATATTACTATGTCCCATTAATAAGTCACCATCATTTGATTTCAAACATCCAGTGCTGTTACGTGTCATCTTTCCTGTTAACAATTTTATCTTTTGGTACATGGAATGTGAGTCTTTCCTGTTGTTTTCCCCAATCTCTGTACACATTTGATTCAGCCAGGCTTCTTTAGCCACTTTACATTTGTTCACTATTTCTTTTTTGTATTCTAGAGTTTTCTTCTTTATCATTCTTTTTCTTCCTTCTTTCATCCATCAGCTGCAGAATTTCAGTTGACATCTATTTATTTTTTGCAACTCTATGGGTTGGTGGGATTTTCTCTTTAGATGTCTGCTGAATTGACTCACGCAACATATCCCACTGTTCATCAATAGTCTGTATAATTTCCATTGCATTATACCGGTTTTGTACAGTGACATTGTACTGGTCTTTAATTTCTTTATCCGTTCTAAGAATTCCTAAATTTAACTTGATGTTCTGTGGTGTTTTTCTAATGTTCTTTAGTTTTATTCTAATTTTTCCTACAACTGGAACATGGTCACTAAAGCAGTCTGCTCCTGGTCTAGTGTTTGCTTCAACTAAGCTGCTCCTGAATCTTCTTGAAATCAAAATATAATCAATCTGATTGCGGACATTATCACCAGGACTTTTCCAAGTCCACAATCTTCGAGGATGGTGTTTAAACCAGGTGTTACCTATTTTCATGCTGTGATTTTTAACCTCACTAGGACCACACAAAGAGCGACCAACACTTTGTGACACAAAGTGCCACCATTCGGATGAGGATCACTCAGGTACAAGTTCCAGAAAGCCCATTCAACTGTTAGGTTATATTAGAGCCGGGGTTTGGCTTTAAAATATCAAATAAGTGGCCTCAGATATTGGGATGGACAAAAACAACATGCAATGCTAGAAGTTTCTTCAACAGCCTGGCCTACTTTATGACAAGAAGCTGGAATAAGATAGGTGTTCATAAATATTATACCAATAAAAACTATACACATAGTCTCAATAACAATATATTAATAAAACTAATGAACAGCTTATACATTCTGCAGACTGAGAATTACATTAATATTATAAAATGAACATATTTTACAGATTAAAAGAAAATATGCAGTTTGCTAAACCAACTTTTTCCAACATTTGATTTATTCTTTGACTCAAAGAACATAGATGTTATCCATAGTATACTAATATAGGAAGTGATTTTCATCTTTATTACCCAACATTACATAAATACAACAGTAAGTGATATTAATGTCTGCCCTCTTCCTGAATCAAACACATGTAGCTTTCAGCTTCCATTTTAAAAACATTAAAAAGTGTATCTTTGTGGAAACATATATATTTTTTAAATAGTATAATAAGTATTGGGACACCACTATGTGGTTTTTCTTGCATGCAGGAAGAATGAAAAGTAAATAAGACCCCAATGCTTTAAAAAAAAAAAAATCCTCTCCAGGACTGCATTCTAAAAGATGAACACCCAGTGAGTCAAAAGGTTACTATTCACATAAGAATACAACAGGAGCAAATCCCAGAAACCCCTTCAATAGTATGACAGTTAATGAGTTATCTATAAGCACCAGACACTTACAAGGTAACCTGCAGTCAGATGTGGATGGGCAATGATAGGTCATGCTATATTAAAACAAATGAATGTATGTCATAAATTAAAATATATATTATGGAATAACAATTGTATGTGTTTTACCATTTTATACAAGAAATGAAACATGAGTAATGAAAGGGTGAAGAGACAAGAGGCAGTAATATGCATTTTTTTTAGAAGATTGCTAAGTATATGGCAGAAAGATAAAAACAAAATAAAACACGTGTTACAAGACTGCCCATTAAAACCTTTAGGAAAAGACAAATGAAAATGACTGGGTTTATCGATAAAAACATTACAGAAATTAACATTATGTGAAAAAAAAGGCTATATGAGACAGATCTGTCTTGAGGCTGGCAATTGATGGCTAGTGCCATCACGAAATATGCTGAGGAGGTGTTTATTTATATAACACATAAATAAGAGTACATTTGAGATCTAATCCATAAATAGCAAGTATATTTAACCACCATATCATGTGATAATGTAAACTTGAGATCCAATCCATAAATGGTAAGCATATTTAACTACCACATCATGTGCTAATATACACTTGCGATCCAATTCATAAATGGCAAGTATATTTAACCCCCACATCACATGATGAGGTACACTTGTGATCCAATCCATAAAGGGCAGGTATATTTAACCTCCACATCATGTGATAATGTGAGAAGCTCAACACGGTCAGCAAACTGCAGTAGTGCTGGCCTTAAGGCATGAGTTCAATTCCATATTGAGGCAATAATTTTTTTACTGTGGCTCCCAGTCAGCCTAACATTTATTAGGTACACAAAATAAAAGGCGCTTGGCAAGATGTTGCCAGACTGGTCTTAAAATTACTCTGTGTGCTACTGACATATTTACTTATGAACATCAACACTGCTCAAAATAACAAACAAAAACAAGTTAAAAAATCATTAACAAAAACAAACATATAGTTTACACATCATAATTGTAACTCATCAGAGTAAACCATGAAACTATAAAGGTCTCTTGAATTTTTTTAAATTAAAAAACATTTAAAACCTGTATGTCCCCTATTTATCCACTCATAATGAGTAAAGCAAAATTATTATTGTCTTAGCAACATCATTTCTATCTTGTTATGAACATGTCGCAGGTCAGATGATAACATCTACTTGTGTCTCCAGACTGTGACAGTTGCAGTGCCTTCTCCACTGGCATCTTCAAAAGGAACCTCCTGGCTGCTGATGCATTTGAGTCTAAATTAATAGAAACAAATTAATAGAACACTTTGAGGCTAAGAACACATTTAGGCCACAGTTGTTGACACAAAGAAAACAATGGGTGGGGTAGGGGGAGGGGAGGCTAAGCCTTCTTACAATGGTTGGTTAAATCGATCAATGTGTCCGCTCCCAGGCTACTACCACATAGTTCACCATAATATCCTCAGATATATATATATATAAATGTAGACAGCAGGTAAACAAGGCAGATCCCAGATACTCTGTTTAACCCCCAAAGAAGTTATCATTAGGGCACCCATAATTGCTACGCAATCAGGTGTAACCCATAATCCTATGCACATTTTCCAGTGGAGGAGGGCTCAAGGGACCAAAGCCTGGTTTAAGTTATATATATATATATATAATAGAAGTAATTGTATAGGAGCTGTCTAAGACATCCTTATCTGTAGTAAACTGGAGGTTACACCAGAATAGTGTGGTTTACACTGGCGCCCCAATTATAACTTATTTAGAGGTTGCGTGGGGTATCTGAATCTTCCCTTCTGGTTTGTCATCCAGATAGACATTTTGTAATCTCAGGATAGTGAAACCTTCAAAATGCAGCCTGGAGGTAAAACAGAATGAAGAGGGGAAAAAAGGATGAATGCAATAGGGCTCACAGTCTATTCTTCAATTCCATTATATCCTGTGCAATCAGTTCAATATCGTGTATGGAATCCAGTCCTGCAGCTTTGGCCTCTCTCACCAAAGTTCGTTTTATGGTTTCTGTGTGTGTGGATGTTCCCACTTCCTTAATCCCTTTATTTCCCATTCCAATGCCTGTTTAGTGATTCTCTGCTGGCTTCTTCTCAGGATGGGTCCAATTTAGTGCCAATCTTTGAATCGTATAACCACTGAAACTAATGGTTCCCCGTGTGAGTTCATGGCCTCATTGTCGAAAAAACCAGAATACACCCACTGCCTCCCCTAACAAGCATGTTGTAAGAATCAACTCACTGGGGTCTTCCTTCGAAGTTGGAGTGCCTCTGTCTGAGAGGCAAGGAACCAACAATCTGCTTACAGTTAAATAAAATCTGTTAAATGGATGTGCATACAACACATGTTCTGGAACAAGACTAAAGTCCAGAGGTGAACAAACAACCATAACCTTATGCCGGAGTTCACAGCTTGTGAATGTGAAGAAGAAGAATATACTAGTGGATGCCCAGACATTTCTCTTATTTCTTCACTCCTTTCTGAATGCATCCTTTTTTATTTTAAAAATGTTCCTCAGGCATATGTTTTCAAATGCATTTAACTTTCGTTCCATGTCTCTTGTGGTTCTTCAACATTCACTGGTATTTCTAACAAGTACTGTTTTATGAATATTTTAGTTTCTGTCATATATTCGTCACATACATTAAAACAAAAAAGTTGAAATGCAGTGGACCCCAAGGCAGACTAAGAAGATTGTGGAGAGATAAATACAGGCAGACCTACAAACACTGGAGTCACACCAAATGGAAACAGAAGGTCAGTCACAAAGAGGCATGGAGGCCAGTGATATCTGCAGCAATTAACCTCAAAGACTCTTAGTGCTGAAGAAGAAGGTGTACATTCATTTACCTATGGCAAAGATGATGGTTTAGTTTCTTCTTGTCCCAGTTGCCATCTTTCGATGCAATAACTACTATTCCTTTTGGTTTTGTGATTTCCCACAAACGAACAAGCCATGCTGTGGATTGTTGATTAAAATAACATTAATATCACTTTTAAATATACACATATAGACAGAATATAAAATGAACATTTAAGACAACATTTATTTATGTGTGGAAGAAATTGGGTCATCTCCAGGTGATTTTCCTAAAGACATCAGTGGGTATGCTGTTTTGATGGCACACATTTGAAAAAAAAAAAATATTTTCTGTGCGAACGCCAATGTCACCCGGTAATGTACATTAAGATGGGAAATTTTATTCTGGGATATCATATCCATGTTGAAGGTCCCTTACAGAACATCGCTGTCAGCATGACACGTCAGAAAGTTTCTTGTCAATGATTACACCTCATGAACTTTCATTCCCAGGATGTTTTTGATAACATGTGCTCTCCATCGTACTGGTCAATATCTGCCTTTTTTTCTGATTGCCAGAATGAATTAGGCCAGTGCTCTAGCTTCGCTCCATCAATGTGGCTAGGCCATCAAGTATTCTCTGGCCAGTTTTTGTATTAAATGTTTTTATCTTCTTCTTCTTCTTCTTTTATCGTCTCCCTGATACCAGATTCTAGCCCAGTGTCGTGGTTTTCAGTATTTGCCTTGCGCTTCTTGGGTGGCTTGGGTGACAGATTTGGAAATCATTTTGCAGGTTTCTGCTACATTTATTCATCTCTTTCTTTGTCTTCCTGTCTTTCTGTCGCCTTCCTCTCAGATGTTGTAAAAGCCTCATATGCAGTTTAGTCTGGCTGCATTCTCATTAGATGGCTGAACTATTTCATTCTTTGTCTGTCAACGTAATTCAGACTTTCTCTCTAATAGTGATATTCGTAATCCTGTCTCTTCTTGTGTTGTGATCTTGCACCACGCAATGGGCCTAACAAGCCGGCAGTAGTGTAATTGATTGCTACTGCACAAGAAATATTTAATACAAATGTAATTACTTAGAGAAATAAAACTATATTGAACATACCTTTCGGGTTTTGTACACGGTCCAAGTGAGTGATCAGGACCAGATCATGGCTGTCCACTTCATTTGGGATCCAAGTTAACTAAAAAGATGAAAAAATTAGTAAATGTAGTGCATTATAAATGATTTATCTGTGGCCTCATTGGGGGAAAAACAAGAAGAGACCAACTGTCTCCCCAAAAACTAACTGGGGTCAACTAACAGAGGGCATTTTTTGAAGTACATCTGCCTGAGAGGCAAGGAAACAAGAGTCTACATATAAATAAGTCAGTAGTGTGAAAATGAACACCCAGATTTTCTGCCAGAGTTTACTACACGTTGATGGGAGGAGCCAAAGCTGCAGGACTGGATTCCATCCATAATATTAAACTGATTGCACAGGACAGAATGGAATGGAAGAATAGACTGCAAGCTCTATGTGGCATATAAAGGCACAACAGGATAATGAATGAATGAACATGCGAAGAAGAAGAAGAAGCAGAAATGATATAACACAGAATACACATAAAAATTACCAGGGGAATAGGTAGTGCCTTATTTTATGCTCTTGTCCTTTGAAATACTAATATTATAATAAATTCAATAGTATTTATGAGCCTTTACTATCAATATGGTCAACAACAAAAAAGTAGGAATTATAGGACTGGCAAAGAGATCACAGCTGCAAGGTCTGAAAATCCATAAAGGAAAGACAAAGATAATGAGAATAAATCAGGCAAATAGTAATGTGTTCACCTATTTGGGCAGTAATGTAGATACAGATTGGGGGAAATGATAGAGATATTAACATAAGAATACAAAAGGCAAGAGAAGCTTTCATAGCACTAGGGAATTTAAGGAGGTCAAAAGAAATTAAAAGAAATACTAAACTTGAAATTTCTAATTCTTATGTCAAATCAGAACTTGTTTATGGGGTGGAAACATGGAGAACAACTAAGGCAATTACTAATAAACTACAGACATTCATTAACTGGTGCCTGTGCAGAATAGAGGGAATCAAATGATATGATAGAATAACTAATGTAATCAAATGATATGATAGAATAACTAATGTAGAGCTTTGGGCGAAAACTAATCAAACTCCAGTGGACCAAGAGGTGAGGAAAAGACGCTGGCGTTGGATAGGACACACATTGAGAAAACCGGAGAACAGCATAACTAGAATGTCTTTGCATTGGAACCCACAGGGGCATAGAAATAAAGAAAGGAAGGCCAAAAAACACATGGCGAAGAGAGTTGGAGAATGAAGTTAAAAATATGTGGAAGATATGGGGGGAGCTCCATGCAATAGCAAAAGATAGAGTGACTTGGCGTGAGTTGGTTGAGGGCCTATGCTCCATTGGGGGATAAAAAGGCACACACACACAAAAAAAAAGACAGTAGAAAAACCTAAAGCTGTGTGATGGTAAGGACTGCTTGGTATTCAAAGAGTTAAATGTTTTTAGACAGTTCAATGAAATAGCAGATACTGACCTGTTTAAAGACAATCCTGTCCAAGTTGTACTTGTCACCAATTCTAATTTCTTTCGCACCCTTGTATAAAATGTACCGCTCAGCCTTAAGACGCATTGCAGCATCGATTAGACGACCACATGTTTCAACTCCCAAGACCTGAAAAAAAAAATTGTTCTTGTAAAGACACTCGTGTGACTATTCAGGAGCATCCGCACAAAAAAAAAACATTGGAGACCTTACCCTTGTTTAAGCGTGTAACTTTATATATATATATATATATATATATATATATATATATATATATATATATATATATATATATATATATATATTTATATATATGTATATGTATACATATATAGAGTGTTGGTGTCTGTGGTTTAGGCGTTGCCGGGGGCGCCCTGTTCGATCCCTGCTGCAGGCCACTGGCAGCAGACCATCTTGTGTTGGTTTCCCACGTAGTACGGAGAGCCGACCGTTAAGTGAGCAATTGCAAACCACTGAATGCAAATTTGCCTAGAAAAACTACAACAGTAAAAAAAATGCTGGGGTTTGTTCTGCAATGTCCTATAAATTGTATACAAATAACTTTATATATCCAGTATATATACACATACACACATACACAGAGTAGAACCTCCAAAGTTAAGCCATCCGTATGTTGATTGCATTTTCTTTGATCGGTTGGCCACCAAACATTCACAGTGGAAGGCTATCTCTATATGTTGACCAGCTCTATAAGTTGTATATTGACCATTTGTACTATGAAACACGGTAATTTACTCTAAGTAACGTGACCAGCCAGTTTTAACCAGCAGTGGCTGGAAGCACAGGACTATTCATTCTTACGTGTGTGTGCAGAGTGATTCTATTAGCATGATCCAGCGAGTCGAGGCAGTTTCTGTTATGCAGACTGCGGATTGAGTCATTGCAAAATGTCCCTGTGCATGCAGTTACCTTCATCTTTGTCCCAGGGCATGCTGGTGTTGTCAGCTTTGAAAGAGCTGATAGACTGGCTGGCTCTGCTTTATTTGTAGATGTCCAGCCTATGAATCATGCGGACATTGTTAATGACCTAAAATATATAGGACGAGTCAAGTATTTTCAGAGCAACCTGTCCACATCACTGATAAGAATATGAAAATTGGGAGTAAAGATCAGCATATCCAAGCATGAGAGAATCACTGGATGTACAAGAAGTCTTGTTAACCAGCATAGGACTGACAATGTTAACTGCAGGATGCTGATGTATATGTCGAAGGGGGAAGCTGAGCACCTATTGATGTGTCTGGAGTGCTGTGAAGATAACCCAACTCACAACCAGCATTGTGTATTGTACTTTGTCATAGTTAAAAAGTGCAAAGCTCCAGCGTACTTTATTTGATCTCAAAGAATCAAATGAAGTGCTAAGATCAGACTCTCAAGGAGTCCATGGCGAGAGTTTTCAGTGTTGATTAGTCCCCCCCCCCCCTCCCCCTCCAAGATCCAGCGGACTTCATTTGATCTCAAAGAATAAAATGAAGTGCTAAGATCAAACTCTCAAGGACTCCATGGTGAGAGTTTCGACAGTGGTACCAACAACTGACCATTCAGAAAGCAGTAGCAAACTACTGAGCATAAAATGTACCTAGAAAAACCATGACTGCCAAAAATGCTATGATTGGTTCTGCAATGTCCTGTAAAGGAAACACAAATAACTTTTTTAGCTATACTCACCCTACAAAAATGTTTACTAAGCTCAAAAGACCCTCGCCCAGTAGCGCTGCCAAGATGAACTGCTGAACTTGTAGAAACATGAAAGAAGCTGCAGTAGTTCTTACAAAGATCAGCTACCACAGCAGCAAAGCTTTCACGGTAACCAAACTCCAGTTCAAGGATCCCTTCCAGTGCTTCCAAAGTATCAAGATTGTAGGCAGCATGAGTGCTCTTCACATGCACGACTTGCAGATCACTGTCCAAACAAGGCTTGTTGGCTGCAGAAATGGTAAATATTAAAAAAATCTACAGTGTATTTGAACAAAGTAAAAGATAACAATTGTACAGGACCGGACCACAAACACGTGAGCACATTCTGCAGACCTGCTCACTCTACCTACAACTTCGAAACGACACCTGGCTTCAAGAGCAAAGTGTGCAGAGCAAGCTGTGGGGAACCACGAAGGACCTGTTACTTCTTCTTCTTCTTTGCGTTCACCGGGTATAAACTCCAGCAGAAAGTTCTGGTTGTTCCTCCACTTCTGGACTGCAGTCCTGTTCCAGAACCTGAGTGTTGCGTGTGCATCTGTTTGACAGATCTGACTAATTTGTATGCAGACTGTTGTTCTCAGGCAGATGCGCTCCGACTTCAAAGAAAGCTCCCAATTAGTCACTTCTTAAGACATGCTTTTAGGAAGGCAGTGGGTCTATTCTTGTTTTCCCTATAAAAGGGCCCTCAAACCCACACAGGGAGGTCCTGCTACTGACATGCGAGTTCATAGGGGCAACCCACCTGATGGTCTGATCTGAGCATACAAAACCGAACACAAAGAAGAAGATGAAGAACAACTTAGATTGATATCATATTTAGTTTCCCCCATTTGAGTTCAGGGTACTACTGTGGGAAAAAACAAGAATAGACCTACTGCCTCTTCAACAAACATGTCATAGGAGTCGACTAATAGGGGAGCTTCCTTCGAAGTCAGAGTGCATCTGCTTGAGAAATAAGGAACTAACAGTCTGCATACAAATAATCCAGATCTGTAAAATGGATGTGCATGCAACACTAGGGCTCTGAAATGTAACTAAAATCCAGAAGTGAACGAACGACAAGAACTTTCCGCCGGAGTTAACTGCCAGTGTACGCAAAGAAGAAGAAGGAGCATTTAGTTCTACAACAGAATTTGTTTTATGCCACACATAAAAACTATTTATTACTTATGTGTTACTGGTAACAAAGGGGAGAGTGGGTGAGAATCATAGTAAAATTGTAAGGTATCACGCCTGTCGGAAAAGGAAACTAAAGAGGGCTGAAATTAAACTGTTTGTCTTATTTCATAAAAATACTTTAGTTGCAGTTTCCAAAAAATAGTAATCAAGTCTATAAAGCGGTTTACAAAGCAGCAGCAGACGTATCAATATTAATGGTAGTAGTAGTAGTAGTAGCAGTGGTAGTAGTAGTTACAGTGGTAGTGAAAAAAAGAAGATATAGAAGAAGACATCAGTGCCCTTGCCTGTGAAGGCTAAACAACCTATCCACTAGACATACGACAAAAAAAAAAAAAAAAAGCTCGCCATTTTCACATAAAATGTATCTGCAAACTGCCATAAAAATATTAAGTTGATATTAACCTTGAACTCCTGAACCGAGCACAAACACCTCAGTGTCCACGACTCTCGCTGGGAGGTCCACTTTTTCTGTCAAGCTCCTTGCCAGCCTGAAACCGGAGTGCTGGAAGAAATGTCTTCGGAAAGCATATCTACCAAACCGAGAGGCCGCATCACCAGTTGAGATCCAAGAACCACCCTGAGAGGGAACAGGTTCCAAGCCGTTAGTTTGAAACATCTACATGTATATCATATATGTACAATCAACATCATCCTCAGGTTTTGTTTTTCAAAGAAGATGCTGGTACTCACAAACAAGTGTCCAAAAAAAGGTGCCTGTACTCACGACAGATTATTATTATCTTATTATTATGTCGGCTTCTGTGGCGTTGGCATTGCAAATGTGCGTTGTAATGCCGGGGTACCGGGTTCAATCCCAGTTGTGGGCCTTATGTTGGTTTCTACAGTGGTATCAAGAAGCCAACACTCCAGAAAGCAATGGCAAACTACTGGACATAAAATTTGCCTAGAAAAACCACAACAGCCAAAAAATGTCTGGGTTGATTCATAATCCTGTAAAGGATACCCAACTAACTTTTAACTCACCACAAAATGTCTATTAAAGTAGTACTAAAGACATGATGGCTTAAAAAAAAAGGTGCCGGTACTGAGTACAGTTGCATACTACCACAAGAAAGCTCTTATAATCATCATCATTATCCTGTTATGCTCTTATAAATCACATGTGGTTCAATCTAGTCCTAAATTCTATTCTATCCTGTTCAATTCTCTCGATATCAGGGATAGAAACCAGTTCAACTCCTTTGGCCTCTTTCAACAAAGTGTGTCTAAGGGTTTCTCTTTAACTTCATCGTTTCTTCAGTCCATTTGGCCAGAAGAGCAAGAAGCAGAACATTACATCTCCCAGGATACCAGAAGCCATAAAAGAGGAAGTGGAGAAATAGATAAAGAAGAAGGAACTTGTTCAATTCCTATCTGAATAGTGGCTCTTTGGGTCTTTAGGTTTCAATATTTCAGATTGCAGTTCCACTGAAGGGTAAAAGCCGTCCATTTGTTTGCTCATCCTTACATTACAATTTTTATTTACCAACCAACGATTCAGCCACCAACCCACCCATCCATCCCTGCAGAGATCCATTCATCTGCTCATCCATCTGTCTATCTTACTGTCTTGTCTTTTTTTAAATGATCTAGTTACAAATGTATGATGCATATACACATTGCTTATTTACCTTCTCCATTGCTGTAAAACAATCTAGAGTAAAATTCGAAACTAAAAGTAAAGAAAATAATTTTTACACTAGTGACACATTGGGCATAAGATGAAAGACGCATATTTTTATTAATCAGTTGGCATACAATGGGTGATGTGTTCAACATCACGCCGGATACCTTCATTTCCAAGACATTACCTGGTACCATTTTGAGGCAGCCTTATTACTCAACATTTACAACATGCTTGTCAAAGGGAACATGGGTCTATTCTTGTTTCCCACAATGAGGCCCCAGAACCCAAACCGAGATAGGCAGTGTCAACTTTGGAACCAAGGTCAAGTCTGAGAAAAACAATCTGTGGATTCGAGCAGCAGAAGAAGAAAAGTTAGCAATCATTGGTGTTAAACCATAATGATAATATTTTCAGTACTGACCAAGATAACATTGTGCTTGCCATCAAAGCAGGGAGATGAGAAGTCATCATACAGGAAGTGACTGTTGAAGCAATCCAGACCATTGAAGTGATCCTCCATCCATTCCCAAGTGTTGCCAAAAACGTCGTAAAAGCCAGCCTTTGTTGGTGGGAACATGTTCACTGGCTGTAGAGTATCGATACTTATCATTATGGTTTGTATAAAACATGTTAACACATCAGCAATCTGTCAGAAGTGGACCATTCAATGAAGAGGGAAACATGTACAACATACATAAAATCAATCTAGGTAGAATGATTAGTTCTCCCAACTTCGACTGCTCCCCGGAATGGACTTGATGTTTGCATCTTTCATGCCGTTCCATTTAGCTAAAATCTGAATCAGGTACTTCTCAGTCTATCTCACCTCCTCTTTCCATATACCTAACCATGGAGTATTTTTTTAAATACTCTAATTGTTATTTTCATTTTGCAATGGGAATCGATGACATTTAAGAGAAACCATTAAATGAACTTTGCTGGGAGGAGCCAAAAATGCTGGACTGGACTCCATCCATGATATCAGTAGGATTGCACTGCACAGAATAGAATCGAAGACTAGACTGCAAGCCATATGTGATGTAAAATGGCACAACATGATGACAATGATGTAAACTAAAGACTTTATTTACTCGTAGTTTGTAAGAAGTTATGGAAATATGCTTTACATGTCTGTCTATACATAAAATATGTTTAAAGACATCTGTTAGTAACTTTATTGTCATTATTGCCTCATTTGGAAGAAGGTGTGGCTTCTGGGACTGAACAAGTAATGTGATATATAATTATTTTAAGGAAAACATAGGTGTGAACATTTTAGGCACAGAAGCATTGTGATCTACAAATTAACATGCAATGATTGAACTCATATCTCTAGTTTTTTTAATGAGTGGCAATCAATCAATACATGTTAATTTGTCCATAATTTATCTAAAAATCATATGCTAAATTATCTTTCACAATATTTTTCGAATGTTGAAACACCACTTTCAAGAACTGGTATATTATAACTGACTATAATATTAAAGAGCCGTCCCAATATATGAAGCAATTTATTTTATTGTTTTAAAACCTCACCCCGGCTCGGTTGGGGGCCCTTTATAACCCCATATTTGAACAGGTTCTATGGGACTTGTCCCCAGGTGATCCTCATCCCAATAGTGACACATTATGTCACTGGGTGTTTATCGGGTGTCCTGGTGGGGTTGTACATACATCAGTTATATTATAACTGAGGAGATTTACGCTGAAATACATAAGAGTAAAAATCTGGAAGGAGATGATGGCCTTATAATCAACTGCGACTTACAACACAATGTAGTACAGTCAATTTTTCAGTCATATTACTAGTGCAGCTGTCATGGATACCCTTCACATAACTTACTAAGAGCTTGAGTTGAGTTGATTCAAGAGCCGACATCACAGCACTCGAGGCATTTCCATAAGCTCTCTGTCCCCATCTTCAGCAGACATTGCTAAGTTCCAATACTAATGGTGCTAGTAGCATTCTGATTAAATGTCCATCTTGCCTTTCCTCTGAGCTTCAAGTATCGGCCAGAACCCCTCGTCACTCCCCGCTGCATCAGTCTCACCAGACTGTGGTGATCGATCTGTGCCTCTGAACTATTAAAAGGTTGAATTACGTATACAGGATTTACTCTGTTAGAGTGGCATCCAGGATATCCAACCTTCAGCTGGCAACCCAAATGTTGTTGAGGGAGGTGTCAGACAGCCAATTTGTCAACACACTTATTTTTAAAAAGTTAACAAAACTGCTTTTATATATAAAAATCAAAATGTTTGTTGAAAACGCAATGCTGACAACACTATGATGCAGACTTCAAACTCTGTAAACTTGTTTCGTGTATACTCAAGTTTTTATACAGTCTGTTCTGGTCACGTTTAGCTTTTTTCAAACCAGTAGAAGAACTATTTTGTTCAAGTGCTTGTTCAGCAATTTGTTTGTTCCACTACATTCTTAGAAGTAAATGCTTATTCCATTAAAGAGTAGGTAATATTTCTACTTACTGTTGATGAACCATATTGTAAATTCAGATTTGCATTGATCTCCTCCTGAAAAATAATGTCACTGGCTGTTCCTGCTAATGTCGGCAGCTGTTGAAGAAATTCAATGCATGCATTACTGGTGTATTAGACGAAGAGGCTAAGTGCCGTATGCATTATTATTGCATGTGTACAGCGAGTTTGTCATGACTGATTAATTCCGTCACTGATAAAATGCAATTAAGTGGCTACTGTTAATTATGCCAACTCAAGTAGCTGCCTAATGCATTAACTGTATAGGCATGTTTCTGTATTTTGTCAGAACTCATTTTTTGCTCACTAGTTTTAAATGGGACGGTAAGGAACATTTAGTCTGATTTAAAAAAAATTTTTTTACTGGCTGACTGACTGACTGACTTTCTACCCCACCAGGACATCACACAAGCGATAAACACCCGATGACACAAAGCGCCACCATGCGGATGAGGATCGCCGTGGAGAGGTCCCAGAAACCGCGTTCAGACATTTGGCCATATGTATGGCCTGCCTATATTGCGGCCCCTGGCAAAAGCCAGGGTAGGGCTTAAAATGACAAAAAATTTCGTCCTAATAAGGACGAAAATGGATACTTTTTTACTGGCACAGGAATGAAGGAAATATGGGGTAACCCATTTTCTGTAAAGCTGGAACACCATCTGCTAATAATCCACAAAGAGAACACTGATCCTTGTAAATTTCCAGTGGAGAATATTTCTGAAACTTAGTTTAACTCACTTAACGCAATTCCTGCGAAGACTTCTTTGTGTACTGGGTCAGGAAAAAAGCCTATACACCAGTTTCACTCTGATAGACGCGAGTCTTATTCTTGATGACGTAATTCTAAGGCCCCTAACTTGTATGACTCTCCCCTGCCCCCTGCAGGAAATCTGCAGAAGAGTTAAGTGCCCCCCTTCCCCACCCACCCCTAGCTATTCACAGAAGTACTCTTGTTAGTATTTTTTTTTTTGCCCTTTAGCACATAATAATATAAAAATAATATTTATTATTATTGCACATGGCTTAGGCCCATGAGCCACCCCCCCCCTCCCCTTCCCCCCCTCATAAAAATTTACAAAGGGGATGAACCCCCTTCCTCACCCTATTCTGTTTGCTTTGTGTCGGTGTACCTGGTACATACATAAAATACATACATTCTAAGTCTGAACAACAGAAGTAACTCCTAGAACCTTTTAATGAAATCTACAGCCATACCTGTGGTCCTCTCATTGCGTGGTGTTCAGCCTCAATAGGCAGGCGGTAACCCTGACCTTTCCATTTGCAGAAAGCTTTCGCTTCATGGTAGTTGACTTCTACAGGCCAGTCCCAAGGCATGTCCACGTCGTTGAACATTACACGCAGCCTATGTAAAACATGACAGTAAGCTAGCAGTTGATTTCCCCTTAGATATTTACTTTCAGCATGGCTAATTATTCCAGATACTTTACTTTACATTGTTTAATATTCAAATAATTAAAAATTAATAATATTATGATTAAAGCTCATAACAGCAGACCTAAGAACTCTTGGAGTCATTTAGTAGAAAGAGAAGGATAATCCGGAGATGAATGAAGGCTCGTTATGTCTACAGCCATGTAAACAGTGCAAAAACACATTGAGATTAGTTTAGTTTATGCAAAGGATCAACACCATGGCACAAAAGTAGTAACCCATAAATGCTCCGCTCTACTTATAACTCAAGCCTGAGTCTGAAAGAATCTCAGTGCAGTGTATGAACTCCACAGCACCAGCAAAGATCCTAAAATACCTTGGGTTGATTTTTAACTCCAAATTTTGCCTGGGCAGCACTATTAGGCTAATATTTTCCACCTGCCAAGAGATTTTTTACGTGCCCAAAAATACACACGGGTTTCCGATCTTACTACCCAGAGAGCAGGGGAAATTAGTAGAAGTCCATGTGAAAAAATCCCAGCCTTCCCCGGGGCCTAAACCTGTGACGTCCAGCACTCGAAATAGACGCCATGCCTCAAGACTACTTAGACCTCCTATATTGAGATTGCCACAGGCTGAAGAGAATGGTGCAATGGGAGTGACCAGGGAATCTGGCAGACAATCCACAGAGGAAAGGCAAGTCGGATATTTAATTAGACTGCTACTGGTACCACTAGAGGTGGAACTCTTTGCTGGCTGCTTAAGATGGGGATGGAGGGCTTATGAGAATGTCCTGAGGGCTGTGGTGTCAATTCTTGAAACTCTACTCAAATCAACAGCTGCAGCAGTGAACCTCAAGAGCTTAGAATGCTGAAGAAATAGAAGGAAGAAGAAGAAGAAGAAGAAGAAGAAGAAGAAGAAGAAGAAGAAGAAGAAGAAGAAGAAGAAGAAGAAGAAGAAGAAGAAGAAGAAGAAGAAGAAGAAGAAGAAGAAGAAAGGAACAAAAATCATGAAAACAGGAGTCTGGCAGGGGTGTTAGCATGTTTGCCTGCTCTCCTGGTATCATGCTGAAAGAACCATTTTCACAGCACTGACACTTTAGACATATGATGCTACACTCATAATGGCTAGATGGGTGATGGGGCAACAAAATGCGGCTGCCTTTACTTCCAAGGACAGGCTAGATCAACCTAGAACCCAAAGTCAATGACAAAAATTATCAGCTAAATAAACGGGCTTTCACTGAAATTTAGCTCAGGGTTAGAATTGTTGAAACATACTTGTAATTGCTGTGTTTTGCTTTCTTGTGTCTTTCAAGTCCATTTTTCACTTCATTCAACTGTCCAAAGTTCAGTTTGCAGTGAGAATAGCTTGCCAGATCTGCTCCACAACCAGACTTGCAACCTACAGAAAGAACAAAAGTCTTTATGGGTACATGTAGTCATGGAGCTGCAGTGATAAAATTATTAATGCATTTGCTTGCCAGGTCAGCTGTCCAGGTGCAAACTCCAGCAGAATTTGTTTATTATTAAATTTTGTGTCTTTTTAAGTGATAAATATTTAAAGATGATATCTGTTATTATTCATAGCCAGTACATAATAAATTTATTATCGCTGCAGAAAATACAATGGGATATGTTTTGTTATGTGTATGCCCATGTTGACCTTGATCCACACTTCACGGATCCATTTGTGTAGATGATGACATCTTCTGGGTCTGAATGCTGTTCTATCAGTTCCCTTACCTCTGTGTCTACGGCCACAGGAATTTGATTCCTGCAGTATCTTCCTAGTGCGATGACAACCGTAGAGATGCCAGGCATGTCTACTGGTGTATTCATCCACTTTTCCGTGAGTGATCACGTCTAGGTCACATACCTTCTGGATTAAATCCTCAGCCTTTGCCAACCAGGAGCGGCCTCTTTGAAGATGCTTTTTTTTGTGTGTTTGTAGTATTTAGCTTTGTGCAGTGGGTGGTCAACGTCTTCCAATACCCTCATGTACATCTTGATCTGTGCAACTTTGTATCTGCTAGTCATCGTCGGCCAACCCAGGACATAACATATGGCGTTGCAGGAAGTGTCTTTTGTACAATGAGATATAAACAGACTGATGAAATTAGTAACCACGGAAATTAGATGTCTGAGAATGGCTGCAGGAGTGACCAGAAGAGATCAAATCAGACATTCCCCTGGTGGGTTCCGGGGCCCTATTATAGGGAAAACAAGAATAGACCCACTGCCTACCCAAAAGCATGTCGTAAGAGTTGACTAATTGGGAGCTTCCTTTGAAGTCGGAGTGCATTTGCCTGGGAGACAAGGTACCAGGAGTCTGCATTTAAAAGAGTCAGATCTATAAAACGGATGCTCATGAAACACTCTGGTTCTGGAACAAGGCTGCAGTCCAGAAATGGACAAACAACCAGAACTTTCCACCAGAGTTTACAGCTGGTGAACGAGAAGAAGATGAAAATCAGACATGAGGACATAAGTGAAAAGGTCGGCACATAATCAATTCTTAATTACATACAAAGACAGCAGAAGTTGAATCTCCTACGACACTCAAAGCTGTAAAAGAGGAAGTGATTAAGAAGAAGCAGAAGCAGATAATAAAGCCTGCCTTTTGCTGAGATAATTTCCCCAGTGAACTTATGGTATTTGCAAGTTTCAAGCAGTAGTTATTGATCTAGAATTAAGATTAGTGTATGTTAGCGATATGTTAGCAGTATGTTAGTGGTATGTTAGCGATATGTTAGAGGTATGTTAGCCTATATGTTTTGGCTGGCTAACAACTACAAATGGTCTTAATGGTATGATGGCTGGACTCTGCTTAAATTCTTGAGTTCGAATCCACACAGGGTCGGATTTTAACAGAACTGACCTTGATTCAGAGGTTGGCCCCACCTTGTATGTATTTCAGGGAAATATTATGGGAAGCGAAGGTGGCCAGTGTAGTTGCATTGTATAGGTTGATCTTCCTTTCTTTGAGACTGTTCTTTACACTGTCATTCCAAATTTTTCAAGGTCTACCTCTTGATATTTGTGGTGGTTTTATTTATTCAGTGTGGCTCTTTGTGGCAGTTAGTACGAGGGCATTCTCTTCACATAGCGATCTCAACACTTGCTCTTGAAATAACTGGCAGCTACTCTTTAATGAACTGTATGACTTTTTTTTCACTCTTAGTCTTCTAATTTCTTCATTTTGAATTGTACCTCTTCTTGTTACTCCATCAGCTCATTTTTACTTATGAAATTATTTCCTGGTCTCGATTTTCAACCAAGGTCAGCCTGGAAGGCCAGCTGAACGGAGGAAAATATGTCACAACCTGGATACAAACCAGTGAACACCAGGCCGACAAGCAACAAACATTTTGAATACATACAAAACATTGCTAATACGTGCAGAGACAACTTCATCTGTGTTTTAACTGACCCTGATCACAGACCCAGAAGCTTGGGTGTCTGGCCTGTCTGTATTGCACCCACATCCAACCTTCTTCGGTCCACAAATCCTGACTCATGTAACCTCCTCTTTCTACAAATTCAAGAAATGCAGCATTGGTGGTCAGGAACTGACTGGCTTCAAATGGGGGGACACTGAAAGGAGACAAGACAGTAAGGTCAATAGAAGCATGATCAATTTATTAAATGGGGTTTATGGGATGAAGTGGTCAAGCCGTTGCATCCTTCTTTGAAGGTGGGGAGTTCATTTCATGGACTGCGTCGTTCAGGTCATTAGAGAACCTTCTTTACGGAGACCTATAGGGATGGTCACTGGAGCTATGGAGTTCATCCTTTGTGTCTTAGCATGCAGTTAGACATTGTGCAGCAGGTGACTGAGACATAAAACTAGGTGCAACAAATTTGATCTTATCAATTTCAATGTGCTTTAGCAATTTCTTTTAGCTCAGCGGTTCTCAACCTGTGGGTCGCCACCCCCTTTCACAGGGTCACCTGAAACCATCGGAAAACACATATTCACTGAAGTTACGAAGTTGCAAGTAAAATAATTTTATGGTTTGGGGTCACCACAACATGAGCAGCAGTATTAAAGGGTTGTGGCATTAGAAAGGATGAGAACCACTGTAATGGCTGATAATCAAAGTACACATATCTGAATGCTTGCAAGTGGGATGTAGTTATTCTTGTGTAAGCAATCAAAAGAGTGAGACTATAACCCTGAAGATGATATTAAGGGGCAATGACGATGCAGTTTTACCAGCTAAACAGATACAAAGCCAGTTCTAGAAGATAACAGACATAACATAACCCTTGACCCATTCGAATCATGGAGGTGTATTGATGGAAGCACTAGCACATAAAACTTGCCATCTTTCTCTTGGTGAATAAGTGTATGATAACTTAGTCCTGTCCATTTCTTGATGTTTTTATTCCAGGATATTCTTTTCCCTCCTCTTCATCAATAACCCCCAATGTTCCATGAAGTACAGTCTTTGCAATCGAATCATGTCTCACCACGTGCCAAAACCAAGCTAGCTTGCGACGTTTCACCACAGCCAAGAGAGGCTCCTGATGTCCCGCAAATTTGTATATATTGTCTCTGACATATTTGTTACTTTTGTGTTCATAAAAACTAATTTCAACATTTGAAAGCCTGAATCCTCCGTTCCATTATCACAGTCAAGGTTCAACTCTCACATCCGTATAAGAAAACAGACAATACCAGTGATTTTTAAATAGTGACCTCGACTGCGATGCTGATTTTGCTCTTCCACATCGTATTCATGTGCAAGAGCAAAATTAGCATCGCAGTCAAGGTCAATATATTCAAATTCTAGAAGATATTCAGCACTGAAGGGGAAACAAAGGCCGAAGTTTAATCAGGTTGCATGTCAACTCTTCGTTGGTTACCAAAGAAGGAGACAGAGCACATCTGGGGATTCGCTGAGTGCAGTGATGTAAATTCTTGACTGATTCATTAATTCATTCAAAGCCAGTTATGAACTGGGAACTGAGCCCAAGCCACAATGTTAGCTAAATAGCCCACAATCCTCTATACTGCAATAATTTATGCAGTGTTAATCAAACAATTTACCATCTGTTCCTTCATTTGTTCATTGCCACTCAAGCACAAGCTCTGCTGAAGTATAGTAAGTAAAAGTAAAGTAGTAAGTAAAGGACTCTTTTCCATGCCTTTAGGTATATAGGGCTAGACCTATATTTTTATAGACCAATCGGCGCAAGATAGGAGATGTGGTCAGCATCACACCGGCCACCTTTACTTTCCCGGGACTGCACCCGGTACCCACTCAAGACTGGGTCGACCTGGGAGCCAAGGTTATTTTTGAAAAAAGTCTGGCTCCGCCAAGGAGTGAACCCACGCTAGGCCACGGGTATGAAAGATATAAATATTGAAGCATGAAATATAAATATTGTATTTATAAATATATTTGAAAATCACATACTTGCAAACAACTTCGCCATATTCATTGTCCCAGCCATAGGAGGGAAAATCAGCCGGTTTATTTTGACTTACATTCTCCAACTCTTTGATTCTCAGCCATTTATTACATGATCTTATTGTTCTAATTGTTGCTTTATTTATTTTATTTACATGCCGTGATTGTAACTGACTCACGGAGCATGTTGAGAAAAGTGGAGACAGGCATGCTCCATGCAGAGTGGCAAGCATCACTTCAGAGGTATAGGGTAGTTAGCTCCCTTAGAATATTTTCTTCACAATATGCCGGTGTGTTGGGAAATGAGCAGTGACAAAGACTGGCTGGTTTGGCACCACTTGGTGGTGAATTGATGTATGATCAACTAGATGTTGTGAGCGATCTTTGGGAGTGAGTGAACAGTGTGGAGGCACACATAGATCATTACAGTCTGAGGAGAATGGCGCTGTGGGGAGTTACCAGGGGATCTGGCCGACGCTCAGCACTCAAGGAAAGATCGGGACGGATAAAAAGTAGACAGTTACTGGTACAGTCGGAACTGGAACTCTTTGTTTGCTGCTGAAGATGGGGACGGAGCACTTATGGGAATGTTCCAAGTGCTGTGATGTCGTTCTTAATTCAAAATTCAACATTTCTTTTTTTTTCAGAAGGAAATACTTTTTTGTGTGTGTGTTCACATTTATAATCCAACTTGTTTTGCTTAAAATAACAACTGATTTGAGTAAAGTTAAAGTAACTCCTGCTTGGGACAAAAAGTGTTAGACAGTGATATCTTGTTCAACCCATCTGGGTTATATGTAGTTTTTTTTTTCCCTATTTCAAAATTCATGCTTGTCACTTTCTTTTGGTTACTTAATATTGTGTAGATTGTTTATGTAGATTGTTTAACTTCAAAGGTCCATATTTGTACCCTTCAGGACATTCAACCATATCCTTTGGAAGCTGTCGAATGAGGACAGATGATGTCTCCAAATGAATCCGTTCATGCTCCATGCCCATCATTAAGGCCCACTGTTCAGAAGAAAATCACAATGTTTAATCGTAATTACAGGCAAAAGGTCGGAGACAAAATATACAGACTTGTAGGACATCGGGAGCCTCTCTTGGCTGTGGTAAACGTCACAAGCTAGCTTGGTTTAGGTACGTGGTGAGACATGATTCGATTGCAAAGACTGTGCTTCTAGGAACATTGGGGAGTAGTTGAAGAAGAGGAGGGCAAAGAAGAAACTGGAATGACAACATCAAGAAATGGACCGAACTACATTATCATACACTTATTCATCAAGCGGAAGACAGAAAGATGGGTTTTATGTGCTAGTGCTTCCATCAATACACTTTCCCAACCCTAATGGGTCAGGGTTATGTTATGTTATAGACAATGGCAGAAAAATTACAAATTATATCCACACAAGCACATAAATCTGTGTAGCGTATAACTGTGTATGATTCTTTTTTGTTTTGTGTGTGTCATCATTCGTTCATCTTCTGTTTGAGCACCTTCCTGTCTTTACATCAGACTATTTTATGTGTAGCACATGCAGTGTTAGTTTGTGGCTGTATTCTAGCAGGACGACCACACAAACCATTTAGTTTTCTGCTTCTCAATAAATTTGGTGCACAATGTTGCTCCCACAGTCTGTCTGGTAGTATCACTTCTTACTCAGTCTCAGATGGTTAAGCTGGTGGCTTACCTCAAGCATCTCATCTCATATGTGTTAATTGTATATATTTTCTGTATAAATACATTTGCTCAAGAGTGTGTAATGTTATAGTGAATAATGAATCAATGAATGAATCAAGAATTGACATCACCATACTCGAGACATTCCTATGTTTGCTCCGTGCCCTTCTTCAGTGACTAACGAAGAGTTCATACGCTAATAGTACCAGCTGCAAACTGATAAAAAGTCTGCCTCTGTTTCCCCTTCAGTGTGTAAGATCTTC